TTCCCGACAGAGGAAAGGATGTTCTTGTGAAAGGGGTTTTTTTTTTCTCCAATTTTGTTTATTTGGGAGATTTTGTAGCCAGTCTGACCAGAGCTGGGTGGAAGTTACTGAAACGACCAGATGGAGAAAGCCATCTGAGAGGCACAGACTGCCTCAGAGACCTTGCACAAGCATTAAAAATTAACAGAAATAGTAGCCAGGGTTTAGTTTTAGGAAGAATGAAATAAAGAGAACACCGCTGAATTTTTCAACTACCAAGGAGGTTTACCAATTATAAAGTGCTTATAGAAAAATTCTTCTTTTGGGATGATTATTATAGAGAGTGACTTCATTTTCTGATTACCCTGCCCCTGCCACCAAGGAACCTGTGGGAGCCAAGTGCTTCCCCCATGATAGGAGCAGGCCACCCCTCTTCCACCGAGCAGCACTTGGCCTCAGCCAGAACACGGTGGGGGGGAAGGCTCCAGACTTCCCCAGCCCTGGCCAGAGCATGGGAGGGCTGGCAGCACAGGGCCACAGCCTTCTCCAGCCAGAGTGTGGGGAAGAGGGAGGCTGGCGTCGTGTTGCCCCAGCCTTCCTCAGAGCATGGGGAGGTGAGCCCCTTGCCTCGGAAGGCATGCAAGCCCCCAGCTTTGGAGGGCAAATGGGTGCCTTCCCAGGGCCCTTAGCACAGGTAGCACCCAGCCCCAGCCTCCCCAGCCCCAGGAGGGTTGGTGGCTGAAGCCCAGAGAGCCCTGGGAGACTGGGGAAAAGTGATGAAGGGGGACAGAAGCTTGGGGCAGAGTGTGAGTGGGGATGGGCTGGCATTTTGGGAAGGCATTGCCTTCCCCTGCCTCTTATACCTGCCGCACATGACAGCCGCACAAACCCCTAATAATAATAATGTTACTGCCATGCTCTTGGCCTCCAAACTATCATCTGTGCTCCCAGTCCAACCCTGCCACCCCACAAACTTCTTCTCCTGTGTGTTTGCAGGGGGACCTCTCTGTTTGCACACACCCCTCCCCACAGACCTTTTTCATATAATCCAGAGTGATTTTAAAACAGTGAAGTGTAACACTGTAGTAATACATAGACTTTATTAGTACAAAGCCTTTTGAGTGGGCAGTTTGAAACTTAAGTGCTTGCCAATCAACTGTCTCACATGCCATCCACCCTCACCAAAGCACTGACCAGAAGCCTGCCGTTCACAGAATGCCAGATGGGCTGGACAAATGATATGCATGATGTGCAGGCCAAGCACCTAACATCCCTGTGCAAACTGAAGCAGTTGCTGCCGTGCACTGTACTAACCATACTGTGTTCCTCCCTCTCCCACGTGTTCAATTCTTTCATCCTTCCTTCTTCTAATCCCCTTCCCCCACCCTCATGCAGCTCTGCTGCTTCGTTTTCTTCTCCATGTATGTTTCTCTCCTACTTAGTTCTTTGATCTCTGTATACCTTGCCTAAACTGCCTCATTCCCCTCTCCCTGAACGTCTCTCTTCCTCTGGAAGCTTGCAGCCCAAGTGCCACTCCTGGTTTTTATGCATCCTTTTCATGTAGGAGCTCTGTTTACTCCTCCTCCTCATTGGTAGATTCTGTCACAGACTTCTGGGCCTTTGCAATGAAGAGGCTGGAATCCTGAAGAAACACTTGTAATTAAGGACCCAAAGCAGCATGATACCACCTTCCAGCTTTCCTTGAACCACAGTTAAGGGTTCCATGGCCTGATTTAATGCATAGCATCTCTGAAATAATGCCTCATTGAAACCAGATGAAATTGCCATTGAAAACCCATCTAATACTCACTGTGACTGAAGTTTGACTTGAGCATCTGAAGTAAAAATTTACAAAATAAGTCTTGTACAGTTCTCTATCTTCCAACATACTCTACCTTCCTTTTGGCTGGTGCACAGAGGCTTAATGAGTTTTTTCTTTCTTCTCCATTAGTCTGTTAGCGGCACTCCCTCATGTTATTCTCCAGCAAGCCATTTTTTCTTGCTCGTCCTTTTGTTCATGTGCTCTTTTGATTGTTCATCAACTGTGAGAAACATATCAGATGTTCCTAATGAGTTTTGTGTGCTTGCATCTGATTTGGCGACAGGTCATCTGTATATCCTCAGTTTTGGTGAATTTAACTTTAATGCTCAATCTGTTGCTTCTCTTAGAATCTTGGTTTTAAAACACTTGCATTCTTTTTGTTAGAGGTCATGCACTAAGAATTTTTGTTGTAAGCTTCAAGTGCAAATGTTATCCTCTGGCCATTTTCCCACCACTCCCCCCGGCCCCGGCTTCTTATTTCTTGTTAGTCCCCAGTTATCACCACATTTCCTCAAAATACTGGGAGTGTCTTCTTCTTCCCAGGAACCCCTTCTGCTTTCAGTTCCTGGGCTTTATAGGCGCCACCTATTTCCTGTACAGCTGAGCCTCCTTAACCAGCTGCCTACTAGGTTAATTGGCCCACATGGCCAGCTTTAAACCCTGCAGAGTGAGAATGGGGTAGTGCAATCTGGTTCCAGGTATCCTCCATGTCCCTACACTTTCCTCAGGATTTGTGGCAAAGCCACAGCTTTGGAAAAGATCAAGTGGTATCTTTCTAAGTGCTCCCTGGCAGAAACGTTTTCATAGATGACTATTTTGTCATCAATACAGTTTTCAGAAAAGCTCAAGGAAATAATGGCCAAAGTCATAGCTAGAGTATCTTTGAGATGGCTGCACAAAGTCTCTTAGCAGAATTGTTCACTTTCCTTCCCTTGGGAGTGCTTCTCAGTGTGCTGACAAAGCCACTGACACTTGCCTCCTTTCTCACTGGGGCTTCTCACCACCCTGTCCTGCTGGGCCAGATCTCCTGGTCTTGCCTAGTCAAGGCACAGAGCTGAGATCACCATCATCCTGAGGAGGAATACAGACACAGAATCTTTTCAGGTTTGAGGAGAATGTAGTTTCAGGCCCAGCTTCTAGGAACCCAATCCCTAAAGGGGATCAAAACCCCAAATCAATCATTCAGGTAAGCCCCCTTTAACATCGAAAGGAGGATATGCACCCTGATTGCTCCCCTCGGTAACAATTATTTACATTGGGCTTGATGGCAAATACAAGTGATTTTATTAAATACAAACAGTAAGATTTAAGTGGTTGCAAGTGAAAAAAGGCAGAGCAAAATAGGTTACAAATTTAAAATAACAGAAAATGCATAGCTAGTTCTAGCACTAAAAGCTCATCACAGATTTACCCTAAAACTGTTCTTATTTCAGCTAAACCTCCAAGCCAGGGAAGATCTTTTTTCCCTGGGGTCTCTGGTTCATTCTCTTAGGAGTGACATACCAGCCCAAGACCAAGGGCCTGAAAACTTTGCATCTTAAATACCTTCCTTTCTTAGCAGGAATTCATTGTCTTTACATTCCACCCTTCCATGGAAAAAATTACCTGGTCAGACCCTACCAGTTGGAGTGGTCACATGACTTCCTAAGACCAACCACTGATTAGACTTAAAGGACAAAGGAGGCTGTTTACAGGTGATCACCCAGACATTGAGGGAAATACCTTTTGATGGCTTTCATTTGCACATTTAAAATCCTAAAGCATAACTCCATAACTCTAGCTTTATATAGAAGAGTGTTATCTTTATCTTTGATGCTACATATGCCAAAATAAGATATATAGATCCAGCAGATTGAGACATTAAAATTGATAGGTTGCATGATGTATTTTGTCCAAAGCATCTTCGAGTTATGCATATTTGTATCCATAAGTCAATTTCAAAAAAGTATTTTAGAGGGTGGGGTCCATCACATCCTTAATGGACTCTTTTTCCAGAAAACAGTTGAGAAGGCCGGTGACTGACTGTTTGGAAGTCTTTTGGCAGGATTCAGTATGTGATGATTTAGATTTCTCCAATTGCTCCAAAGATGTAAGGTTATTGGTTGATTGCTGGGAAAGTGGTTGAGATAAACTTTAAAATCCCTCTATAAAAATTACTAGGCTACTATACTTGCCAAATCCTCTCTCGCTGGCCGCTTTCCTGGAGCTCCATGGCCCCCAACCACCTCCCTCCTTCCATCCCTATCCCCACCTCCATCCTCCATTCCTACACTCACCATCCTCCCTAACCCCTCCCCACCCCACCTGTCCCTACCCCCACCTCCTTCCTCCATTCCTATACGCCCATCCTTCCCCAACCCTCTACACCCCCACACTGCCCATCCTCCATTCCTATATCCCCTCACCCCCCCTTACTGCACAGCCTTCCCCCACCTACATCCTATCCCCCTTCCTTCCTCCCTACACACACCCTGTCCTCTCCCACAAATTCATCGAGCTGTGAACCCCCCCCCCCCCCCACCCCCACCCAC